CCCTGTCCCTCTCCCTGTCCTTGTCCCTCTCCCTGTTCCCTGTCCTTGTCCCTGCCCCCTGTCCCTGCTCCCTCTCCCTGCTCCCTGTCCCTGTCCCCGCTGGATCCCGAGTTGGATCCCGAGGGATCCCTCCTCTCTGTGCCGCAGGGGAGGTGGTGGTCAGCGTGGAGCCCGAGGTTCCCATCCGGAAGATGGACACAGTGGTGAAGCTGGAAGCTGTGAGTGCCCCATTCCCGGCTTTAGCGCCTCTTCCCCCACAGAATTCCCACTCCTCGAGGGATCCCACGCGGCGTCCCACAGGGATCGGGATCTGTCACACACTCTGGAAGTGCCTGGAGCTTCAACTCCTCCTCACACCCTCCTGCTCCACAAAAACAGAGCCCTGGAGCTGCTCCCAGGGCTGGAGCCCCCCGGCTCTGGATCCAGGCTGGGAGAGCTGGGAATGGCCGGGCTGGAGAAGGGAAGGATCCAGGGAGAGCTTGGAGCCTGAAGGGGCACCAGGAGAGCTGGACAGGGACTGGGGACAAGGATGGAGGGACAGGACACAGGGAATGGCTTCCCAGTGCCAGAGGGCAGGGTTAGATGGGAGATTGGGAAGGGATTCCCGGCTGGGCTGGAATTCCCAGGGAAGCTGTGGCTGCCCCTGGATGATCCCTGCAGTGTCCCAGGCCGGGTTGGATCCCCTGGGACAGCGGGAGATGTCCCCGCCTGTGGCAGGGGGGTTGGAATTAAATGACGTTTGAGGTCCCTTCCCACCCAAACCCACGCGGGACTCCACGCCCAGGGGGGTTCGCTCCTGACCCGGCTCTCCCTCTCCCTGTTCCCTCCCGCCCCACGGCAGAACTCGGACGCGGTGGTGAAGGTGGACGTGGTGAGTGCTGGACCTTTTTCTCCTCCCTCTCCCAGCCCTTCCCAACGGGCCGCCCGCCGCATCCTCACCCCTCCTGGACAGGCAGGGCCACAGCGTGCCGTGTCCCCCGTGGGGGTGGCAGTGGCTCCTGCCGCCTTTGGGAAGCTCCTCCAGGCCCGGATCTCTCAGCCTAGCTGCCCCGGGAGCGGCGGGACAGGCAGGGCTCTGGGCAGGGGGGGTCGCTGGGTGTTCCCACCACAGGTTGGGAAAGGTCTCCTCGCAGCACAGAGCGGCCCCAGGGGGCTTTGCCGGTTGCCGGGAGAGATTCGGGAGCTGTGGGAATGCGTGGATGGAAGGGATGACGGGAATCTGGGAAGGGGTCTCTGCATCCCTGGGAGTGTTCCAGGCTGGGTTGGGACGGGGCTTGGAGCAACCTGGGCGAGTGGAAAGTGTCCCTGGTGGAACGGGATGAGCTTTGACTCCCCTCCCAGCCCAGAGTGTCCCGTGGCTCTGAGTGTCCCTGGATCCTCTGGTGCCTCGCTGTCCCTACACGGGGGGAGGTGACAAAACCCCCCCGGGCTGGGCGGTTGTGCCTCCTCAGGCACCACCCGGGCACGTCAGGGGACATTTCCCATCGCCCTGAGCCCCCTCCCCTTCTGCCTTTGCTTCCCTTCAGAGCGAGGAGGAGAAGAAGAAAAAGAAGAAGAAAGGAGGAGGAGGAGGAGGAGGAGGAGGAGGGGAGGAGGCGGAGGAGGAGGAGCCCGACGAGAGCATGCTGGACTGGTGGTCCAAGTATTTCGCGTCCATCGAGACCATGAAGGAGGTGGGTTCGGGGCAGGGCGGGGCCGTGCCTGGGGAGGGGGTGGTGACGGGAAAACGTTGTCCCCTGGCTGGGGGGGATCCCACCCGTTCCCAGCTGCTCCCAAAGCCCGCTGGATGTGCCGCGTCCCCTGCCAGCCCTGCCTGTCCCGGAGCCATCCTGGAATGGCTGGAAAAGCCCTCCGAGAGGGAGCCCAACCGCCCAGGCCACCCGTGTCCCCAAGTGGATCCTCTGGAGCCCCTCCAGGGAGTGGATCCTCTGGCCCCCCCCTGCCCCGAGGCAGCTTTTCCGTGAGGGGACCGTTCCCGATATCCAGGGGTTTCCCTCCTCCCCCAGCAACTCCGGCAGCAGGAGGCGGCGGCGGCAGACGCGGAGGAGAAGGAGGAGATGGAGATTGGAGAGGGTGAGCGGGGCAGGAGGGAGGGATGGGGGGACCAGGATTCCTCCTGGAAACTGGAGAGGGTGAGCGGGGCAGGAGGGAGGGATGGGGGGACCAGGATTCCTCCCGGAGATTGCAGAGGGTGAGCAGGGCAGGAGGGTGGGATCGGGGGCACAAGGATTCCTCCTGGAAACTGGAGAGGGTGAGCAGGGCAGGAGGGAGGGATCGAGGGCACCAGGATTCCTCTCGGGGCTCGGCCACTCCCTGAGGAAGCTGCAGGGGCCGTGTTTGCCCGGGAGGGGTCAGGTTTTGGAAGCCCTTCCACCCGCACGTCGAGGCCTCCCCGTCTGCTGGCCCAGGGAGGGCAGACAGACAGACAGACACTTGCAGGGCAGGTCCTCTAACCAATCCATCCCAAATGGACCGTGCCCTGGAGGCGTTTCTCCCTGAAGGAATCTGGGGCTCTGGGGGGCTCAGTTGGGCCGTTGCACGTCTCTGAATTTGGGTGACATGAATTCTCCACTGAAGATTCCGCGGGCCAGGAGTCCTGGGGGGTCGGACAGGTCGGGCAAGGGTGGCTTTGTCTCCTTTCCCGTCCCACCAGCGGGGCTTGGAGGGCTTTCCCTGGGGACTGGCAGCCACACCCCCCGTAAATTCCGTGTCCCTGTGGCAGATGCCAAGTCCCTGAGCTGAGGGAAACCCTGAGCCTGCTTTCTTCTGGAAGGCTGATTTTCACCTCCCGGCAGAGACGAGGCTGGGTCGTGCCGAGCTCGGAGAGAGCTCTGAGCGGGTTCTCCCCGGGTTTCCCTCCCGTGTCCCCCCTCCGTGTTTTCTTTCCATCTCCCGAGAAGGATCCACTTCCCCTGGCTCTCCCCTTCCTCCCTCCTTCCCCTCTTCCACGCCAGGTCTGTCCATCCCCTCTAGCACTGCCCAGCCCCAGGAAAGCTGGCAGAGGAGGGACAGGGTTCCTGAGTGCCCCCTCCCCATCTCCCCCCACCCTCCTCACCCCCCATCTCCTCCTCCCCAACGCTCCCCCGGGGCTCAGACCCCAAATCTGGGCACTCCTCTCCCCCCCAAAGGCTCCAAGGCTCAGGCCAAGCACAAGGACAAGCCCAAGGCACCCAAGGAGGACAAGAAGAAGAAGCAGCAGGCGGCCCCCGAGCTCCCTGAGAGGAAGAGCAAGCAGAAGGTTGAGGAGCTGAAGGTGTGTGTGGGTGGGGGGGGTGGGGGGTGCAGGGAAGGCTCCACTGCTTCCAATGACACCCCCTAATCCTGGGGGAGGTGTGCCCTGGGACATCCCAGCTGGGGCTGTGCCCTGGGACGAGGATTGGCACCCTCTCTGCAGGGTTTGGGGCAGTGGGAGGTCACAGGCTTGGCAGGGGAGGGGGTTCCCTGGGCCAGCTGGGATGTGTCTCCCCCAGAGGGGAAGCAGAATTCCAGCCTGGATTTGGGGCAGGGCTGGGCTCTGGTTCCCAAGGATCTATTAGGATTATATATATATATATATATATATATATATATATATATATATATATAATATATTTGTTTTATATATATATTATTAGGATTATATTTATAAATTCCCAAGGATTTATTAGGATTCGTGTAGCCTGTGGGAATTGGGCACTGTGAGCTGATGTGTCCATGTTCACAGAATCCCGGGATCACCGAGGTGGGAAAAGCCCTCCCAGCCCGTGGATCCCCCCCCTGTGCCCGATGCCCACCCTGTCCCCCAGCCCAGAGCACTGAGTGCCTTCCTGGGACACCTCCAGGGCTGGGCACTCCAAACCTCCCTGGGCAGCCCCTGCCAGTGCCTGACCACCCTTTCCAGGGACAAATTCCTCCTGCTGTCCCCCCTGCCCCTCCCCTGGCCCAGCTGGAGGCCGTTCCCTCTCCTCCTGTCCCTGTTCCTTGCTGTCTGAGTGCCCCCCTGAGTGCTCCCCTGAGTGCTCACCGTACCTTTTCCTCACCGTTTGGAGGTTTGCTGGGTTTTTTTTTTAACCCATTTTCCCCCCTGTTTTACCTCCCTCCCGCCCCAGGTGTTCAACAAGGAGCTGGAGTCGGAGTTTGACAACTTTGAGGACTGGCTGCACACCTTCAACCTGCTGCGGGGCAAGATCGGGGACGACGAGGACACGGCCACGGAGGAGGAGCGGATCGTGGGCAGGTTCAAGGTGAGGGCAGCCCCTGGCAGGGATGAGGGGGTGGGACCCCCATCCCGGGGGGCTCTGTGCCCCCTGGGCAGCGGCACTGAGGGCCCTGCCCCGTTGCAGGGCTCCCTGTGCGTGTACAAAGTGCCGCTGGCCGAGGACGTGGCCAGGGAGGCGGGACACGACCCCGCGGTCGGGATGTTCCAGGGAATCCCCAGCAACGACCCCGTCACCGTCCTCGTCAGGGTCTACGTCGTCAGGGTGAGGGGGCTGGGGCAGGGAGGATCCCTTCCATGGGCTGGGATGGGGGGGATCCCAGGAACCCTTCCATGGGCTGGGATGGGGGGGATCCCAGGAACCCTTCCATGGGCTGGGATGGGCTGTGATCCCAGGAACCCTTCCATGTGCTGGGATGGGGGGGGATCCCAGGAACCCTTCCATGTGCTCATCCATGTGCTGGGATGGGGGGTGTGATCCCAAGAATCATTCCATGTGCTGGGACAGGGGTGTGATCCCAGGAATCCTTCCATGGGCTAGGATGGGGGGTGATCCTAGGGAACCTTCCATGTGCTCATCCATGTGCTGAGACAGGGGGTGTGATCCCAAGAATCATTCCATGTGCTGGGACAGGGGGTGTGATCCCAGGAACCCTTCCATGTGCTGGGAAAGGGCCTGTGATCCCAGGAACCCTTCCATGTGCTGGCACAGAGGATGCCAGAGGAGCATGGGGTGGTGCCAGGGAGGGGACACAGCCAGGCCTGGTGTCCCCCTGACAGGGACAGGCATTAACAGGCATCAAGAGCAGGCAGGAACAGCCCCCCTTTCACCCCAAACACCCCATCCAGGGGCACTGGAGTGGCCAGGCCAGGGC